TTTTGAGACAGAGTGTTCCTGGCTTTGGACTTACTGTGTAGCCCAGGCTGGCCTTGAACCCACAGTGATCCTCCTGCCTCGGCCTCCTGAGTGCTGGGATTATAGGCATGCACCACTACACCTGGGCTTGGTTTGTTTCCTTGAGGGTTTTTGTGGTACAGAGCATGGAACCCCAGCCCTGAAGCCAGGCCTCACGCTAAGGAGGTGCTCACCACAAAGCCACTACCATCTTAGGCGACGCTGGGAGCTGCAGAGAGGTTGAAGGGCTCGTTTCCTGGCACAGCACAACTGCACATGCGCGGCTCCTGCCCGGCCCGTCCTGCAGCTGGTGACCATGCTGGTCGTGCCGGACGCTGCTCCCCTGACCTCCCCACACTGTACTTCATCCCGCAGCTAATGCCGCTGCTGCAGCTCCAGCACCCCCACATCTCCGTGTATGAAGAGCTCTTCCAGATGTGGGACAGCGAGGTGGGTCAGGAGGGTGCACACCCTGACTGGGCCCTTCCCGGGCTGGCACCTTGCTGCGTGCGGGCTCGGGTGCAGGCTCCAGTGAGCCCAGCTGCACCTTACCGAGGACGGGACCGAGAGGAAGGTGGCAGGGACCCCACGCGTCCCAGCTAGTGTGTGGCCAGGCAGCAGCTAGGCCAGGTCATTGGGTGTGCCCCACACTGTGTGGGGGCCCCTCCCGGCTCAGCCATTTGCCAAAGTCTGAGAGAGTCTGGCTCTAGCAAGGTTTCGGCCCCAGGGAAGAGGCTGGCCCCAGGAGCTGCTGCCCTGCCTGGACATCCCAGGCCCCAAGCCCTCACTCCCAAAGCTCCCACACATCACCAGCCAGCTTCTTGTCCATCCTGGTGCCCCAAGAGACCTACGGGGCTGGAAGAATCACTCTCCTATCCTGGTGGGGCTGGGGCCCAGAGAGGGTGAGGAGCCGCCCAGAGCCACACAGCTGTGAACACCTGGGCTTTGCAGCACCCTAGGCCTCATGGTAGAGGCCTCATGACTTCTCGTCTGCACAAGGATCCAGAGCTTCCAGATGGGACTGACGTGGCGGGAGGGACACTGAGTGGGCACTGGGAAGTGGAGGGGACGTCTCCCAGCAGTGACCCCACCTGGTGCTGCTCCCTCGCCATCAGGTGGGCCCTGAGGAAGCCCTGGGGTGGGGCTCGCTGTGTACCTCCGCACACTTCCCAGTCTCCCTGGAGCTCTCAGCAAGGGCCCTCAACTGAAAGGACATTTCACCACAGAGGGAGCCCAGGGGTGGCCCTGCTGCATCTGCCGGGCCCTGGGCAGGGAGGCTCCGTAGAGGACGTGGGGCATAGCAGGTGGGGGAGGCGCGGCCACGCCAGCCCCGGGCAGCCAATGCAGATGGAGCCTGGGGCAGTGGGGGAGACAGCCCCCAGCATGCACTGCCCCATGGGCCTGCGGGTGGTGGCTGCGGAAGGGGCCCTGTTTGGTGACGCTGGCTAAGGGCCTTGGGGCCTGCAGGCCTCCTCCATGTTCCTCTGCCTGGTGATGGAGTACAACCCGGAAAGCTTCCAGGATGTCATTGAGGCGAAGAGGAAGGAGAAGGCTGTCATCGACTCTGAGGTGAGACCTGTGACCCGCTGCCCTGAAGCGGAGGAGGCCCGAGGGAGGGCAGGTGCCCCCGAGCCCGGCTTGCGTCCCCCAGGTGTGCAGCACACAGTGATGGCCACTCCTGTGGACTCCAGAGGTCCCTGGGCAGTCGCTGCAGCCCAGCAATCCTGAAGGTCACCAGGGTGGAGCAGGCAGCACGTGAGGGCACATGTCTGCGTGGATGTCGCAGCCCGGCCCCTCCATGCCCCGAGGCTGAGACGCTGTGTCCCCCCCAGGGCTGACCTGGCTGTGCCTGCCCCGGTGCCCACATTCGTTTCCGTTTGGGGCTGTTTGGACGCCGGCTGGGATAGTTTCTTTTGGCTTTAATTTGCACCTGCCGTTTGGCTTTCCTCTGTGCCTGTTCAGACGTTTTGCCCAGGTAAACATTCAGGTGTTTTTTTTTTTTTTTTTTTTTCTTATTGGTGCCTAGTTCCTTTTTTTATTTTTATTTTTTAGGCACTAGGAATTGAACCCAGGACCTTTGCACTCAGCTATATGCCTGGCTCTTTATAATTTTTTGAGATAGTGTCTCACCAAGTCACTCAGTTGCTGAGGCTGGGCTCAAACTTTCAGTCTTCCTGCCTCAGCCTCCCGGAACACTGGGATCACAGGTGTGCGCCTGGCTTCTAGGAGTTCCTTATGCATTCTGGACCTGAGTGTCAGGGTATCTGCCCATCCTTGGCCTGCCGAGTCACTTGCCTAATGACGTCTTGTGACGGGCAAAGGTCTTAGAGGTGGTGAAGTCCACATGATCAATGTCTTCCCTCCTCCCGGCCCAAGGCCCTGAGGCTCTGTGTGCTTTCTTCTGGAAGCTGCGTCATTTCGCTTCCCCCTTGGGTCAAGGACCTGCCCCATATGACTGCCCTCTGCTTTTCTCTGAGCACTGCTCTGAGGGGTGTGGGGCAGGCTCTGGCAGGAGCCCTGGAGGCAGCTCTAGGCATCAGCTGGGGGTGGAATCCCAGGAGACACAGATGTCCCGGGACCCCAGGGGCTCTGGCTGATGTGGCACCCAGCCTCTCTGACTCCTGAGTGGCCCAGAAACACTGGCATGGGGTCCAGGGATCCCAGGAACCTGCTGACCCCCGCCCCAGACACTAGAGCAATCTCATGTGTCACGCAGAGGGCTACCGGAAGGACCTCTCTTGGGCTCTTTCACTGGAAGGACAGAAAGGCTTCAGAGTCTCTGGTTCCCAGCAGGACCTCTACCTCGGGCTCCCACAGTGTGGGGCAATGTGGGCCACAGGCTGGCCACCGTCGGCACAGTGTGGGTTGGCGCCCCGAGCACCCGGCATCCCCAGCAAATCACTGCCTTGCTGGCCACTGTGAGGGGTCACCTGCCCACACTGGCATCCCTGCTTCTCCCCAGTGGCTGCAGACCATGCTGGTCCAGGTGCTGGACGCGTTAGAGTACCTGCACCACCTGGACATCCTGCACAGGTGACGTGGAGGGGCTCGCCAGCCCAGGCTGCAGGAAGTGCTGGACAGTGCAGGACAGGCGGATGTGCTGCCTGGGGGGAGGGGTGGGCGGGACCCAGGTGGGAAGGGGCTGGGAATCAGCTCCAATTCCAGACGTGCATCTTAATTAAAGGAAAAGAGAAAACCTACAGGGGCCCTGTGTACAAAGGGGACACTCGTGGTCCCACATGAACCTCATCAGTTATTACACAATGGTGGAATCAGGCCCCTGGTCAGCACGTGGCTGAGACCTCTCAGAGGGGTACACTAAGCTAATTGAAACTTGCAGTTCTCCTGCCTCAGCCTCCCTCAGTGCTGGGGTTACAGGCATGTGCTGCTGTGTGTGACTAGGAAACAGTGTTTACTGAGGGAGCTGAGAAAGGGCATTTTCGGAAAGAGAGGGGAGGGATGGGGAGGAAACCCAAGCGTGCCTGGCCCCCAAGAGGGATCCCCAAGGCTGCCGCCAGGTGCCACCTCTGGTTTGCAGGAACCTCAAGCCCTCAAACATCGCCCTCGTCAGGCGGAACCACTGCAAGCTGCAGGACCTGAGCTGCCAGGCACTGATGACCCACCGAGCCAAGTGGAATGTCCGTGCGGAGGAAGGTGGCCAGGGCCCCCAGGGCTGGGCGTGGGCACTGCAAGGGGTGGCCTTGAGCACTGCGGGTACTGACCCCTTCTGCCCAGAAGGTCAGAGAGACCCCTCACCTGGGCCGTAGCCGGGCCGCAGTGCCGCTGTGGGGGTTGGGTGCAAGGTCCAGCACCTGAGAGGAAGAGCCGCGAGGAATAGGGAACCTGCTGTGGTGCCCCTCATGCCATTCACCCTTGCTGGGGAAAAGAAATCTGCAGAAAGGAGACTGAAAAGGAGGACAGAGGGTCCATAGGATGTGGGCACTGGCTATGTGTGGTGCTGTACCAAGGCCTGAAATAGCCCAGGAGATGGTGGGGAGTGGGTATGGTGGATGAGCTCTCTTCCTTTGAAAAGAGGACAGGGAAATGGAAGCTGGCCTCAAGTCTGTGACAGCTGTCCCTAGTGGACAGAATAGCCACAGGCAGAATCCCAGAGCCCTTGAGTAACAGTGGCTGGTGGCACTCTGTGCTTGGGACAAAGAGGCTAGATGGGTAGGTGGGTAGAGGGGTGATAGGATAGATCTGTGGATGGGTCGGTAGATGGTAGGGTAGATATATGGATGGGTGAATGGCAGGATGGATGGATGGATAGATGGCAGAATATATGAATGGGTGCCTGGTAGGATGGGTAAATGCATGGGTATCTGCCCAAAGGAACTAGGCATGGATGGATGACAGGATATATGAATAGGTGGATTGTAAAATAGATGGATGGACAGTAGGGTGGATGGGTGGATGGCAGGATAGCAGAATGGGTAGATGGATGGATGGTAGAATACATGGATGAGTGGATGGTAGGATGGATGGACAGATGGATGAACAGATGGTAGGATATATGGATGGGTGGAGGGGTGGTGGGTGGTAGGGTGGATGGACAGGTGTGTATAAGTAGATGGGTGAATTGACTGAAGGTGGAGAAGGCATAGAACCTTGGAGAAAAGCTGTTTGGGAAATGGAGGTCTAGAGGGAAGAGCTCTCTGGGGCCGACAGAAGACTGACTGGCTGGCGTGAGGACCCTGCTCTGCTGCTCTTTCTCTGGGGTTCAGGTTTAGAAACTGGGGTAGCTGGAACTTTGCCCCAGGTTCCTGACATTTGGAAGGGGAGATGGTGAAGGAGGTGCAGATTCAAGCCTTCTCAGCATGTGCCCCTTCCTGCTCCCGTAGCCGCTGTGAGCACAGACACGCACACCTCGGCGGCCTGGTGGACACTGACCCGGATGGGCGTTCTCCCTGGCTGAGACCCAGGTGGAGGCCTGTCCCCTCTCCCCAGCTGGCATCTCAGGCTGCTTTCAGGGGCCACAAGAAGGGGACAGAGCCAGGCCAGCATGGTTTTTCTGAGCGGACCCCTCTGAATGGATCCCCCTTTCTTGCCAACAGACCCCTGTAAGAAGTCCTGGATGGCCCCCGAAGCCCTCAACTTCTCCTTCAGCAAGAAGTCGGACATCTGGTCCCTGGGCTGCATCATCCTCGACTTGGCCAGCTGCTCCTTCTTCACCGTGAGCAGCCTCCCGTCTACCTACCCTGCTCAGCTCCTGCTGGCCTCTAGTGAGGATATAGTGGCCGCAGGGTCACGCTCACCCCACCATGCACATGCCTCAGTCCTGGCCAGTGGCCCAGGACACCCCATCCAGGAGCCCTTGCTGGTGTTCAGGATGTGGGGGCTTGGGGCCTGGAGCCTGGGCCTGAACTCACCTGGTACGAGTCACATACCAACCCACAATTTTGAGGTGCCAGCTGTCCTGTACATCCTGGTGGGTGGCTCCCGTCTTGTCCCTACTGGCATCGTGCTCCAGGACACATCCTGGGCAGAGAGGAGGGGACAAGGGACCAGGCAGGCCCATGCGTGGCTGATGAGCAGAGCCCTGCTGCAGGGAAAGGTAGGAGCACCAGGCCAGTGCAATGATGCCAGAGAGCCAGGGCAGCCCCAGCCTCCTACTCCACACCTGGCACAAGCATCTGGCTGGGCCCCCGTGTCCACTCCCTCTCCCAGACCCCAGGCTGCACCTCTGAGAAGCACCCTGCCCTCCCTGCTCATGGGAGACTCGAGGGGAACGAGGGCCAAAGGAGGCCCCATGCCTGTGCCTGGCACTAGCTGACTTTGGGCACTGCCGCTTTCTGCTGAGTGGCCCATTGGCCCTGTTGCAAGCTGGATCCAGACAAGACAGGACAAGTTATCCTCTGCCCCCCAGCCTGACCTCTGTCTGTATCCACAGAGGAGCTCCAGGGTCTTGTGGCCTCTGGCTGGTCCCCTTGGGGTTTCCTTGGTCCTGGCACCTCCCCTGCCCTTGGCCAGGCCTAGCCTTTACTTTGTCACAGAGACACTCAAAGCTTGCTCTCTGCCCTCACAGGGAGTAGAAGCCATGCACCTGCGGAAGTCGCTCCGCCAGCAGCCAGGCGGCCTTCGGTCCGTGCTGGAGACCATGGCGGAGAGGGAGGTCCCCCTGGCGGACACCTTCTTGATCCTCCTGCCTGAGATGCTGCAGGTCAACCCCACAGAACGGATAACGATCAAGTGAGCTCAGGGGCACAGTTTGTAGTCTAACTATTGTCTTTCAGCATCTTTCCACCCTAGCACAGTCAGGGTGCTAGCCTTCCTGCACCACTGAGAACATCGGCCCGCACGCCATGGGCTGCCCCAGCTTGGCTGTCCACACGGCCCAGCATGGCCCAGCCCGGCAGCGAGCCTCTGCACAACAGGGCAAGCAAGCCACACCTCCACCAGGACGGGGTAGGGTGCGGCCCAAGTCCAGGAAAAGGTTTAAATCCTAATTTAGAATCAGATGAGAAAAGCATTGGTCTTTAAACCAACACGGTCATAAAATCTGATTGTTTCTGTTTTTATGGAGAAAGGGGTTGGGAAGGCAAAAGCGCCAGGGCCCAAGGGTAACCCTGCACCTCAGCAGAGGAGTCTTGCAGGCGGGCTTGCTGGGCATGGGTGTTGTGAGAGATACAGCCAGATTCCAGCTCAGGAGGCCTGGGACCGGCAGGGAAGCCACCTCGAGGGCTGCATCCTGCAGCCGACTGTCTCTGCTCCTCTGCTAGGGACGTGATCCGCATCACCTTTGGGAGAGGCTCGCTCAAGTCCTCGAGCAGCGCGCTGACCCTGCATGGGCCGGGGATACCCGAGGAGGTCGCCAGCATGCTGCTGGAAGGCAACATGGCCAGCATTCTAGGTGATGGTGGGGACAGAGAAACAGGCGTCTGCAGCTGTGGCCCATGTCCTCTTGCGTGGTTCTGGAGGGCTGTGCCTGCCCTTCCCAGTGGGCCTGCTCCTCGCCCCAGCCGTCCTCCACCAAAGCCCAGCACCACCGCTGTGCTCTGGCTGCTGCCCTGCCCCATGCCCTGCTTCCAGGCAGGGCCAGGCCCCTCCAGTTTCCCTCTATGCCTGCTGCACAACTCACCATGCAGCTCCAAGTCCCATGCCTGAGCCCGTGCTGTTGCTCCCGCACCTGGCTGTGACCTGTGCGCCTGCCATGCACAGGTGGCAGCAGCATGCACCGCACCGGTGCTCAGGGCGGGCTCCCAGAGACTTGGGCTGGAGTTGGGACAAGGCACCTGGCCTCAGTGGCTTCATCTGTAAGCTAGGGATAAAAGCGCCATCTTGGTGGACCCCAGGAGGTGCTGCACGCCCAGCAACCGGGCCGGTGTGGCACCTGGGACAGAGTGTGCTGGCCTGACCCCCCATGCCCTCCTGTTCCTTGCAGAAGTCATGCAGACGTTCTCCAGCCACCCTGAGGTGCAGCTCAGAGCCATGAAGAGGCTCATGTCCATGCCTGAGGACCAGCTCGGTAGGGGCCTCGCAGGCCTGGTTATGTTCCTGGGAGGGCCTGGTGCCTCTGCCACCTGCTGGGATGGTGGGCAGCATGGGGTTCTCCCTGCTGCCACTCCTGCGGGCAGAGAAGTGGGGGTCCAATGTAAGATGTTCGTCCCAGCATCCCTATGATGGGCATTCTAGCTGTTTTTCATCTAGTCTTAGAAATGGTGCCCTGTGGGATACACTGGAGGATGTTCACGTAGGGCCTGAGTGCTTGTGGAGGGTGAGGCCCAGGCTCCAGGGCTGAGGTTACAGGCCGCCCTGCGTGGACACACCAGCACACTCCCAAGTCCTGGGAACACCTTTCCTACCTTCCTCATGAATGTGATCTCTGCAGTGGTTTGTTGTTTTGTTTTTTTTTTGAGATCGGGTCTCCCTGTATAGTTCAGGCTGGCCTTGAACTTCTGGTGATCCTCCTACCTCAGCCTCCGAGGGCTGGGATTACAGGCATGCACCACCATGCCCAGCTGGCAGCCGTTTTTTCATCTGAGAAGTGCAGCTTGTGAGAGGAAGGACCTTACTCCTGGGGCTGCTGGGAGCACATGCCTGGGCATAGCCTGGCCTGGGGTCGGCACCTCTGCTCCCAGCACTCAGGAGGCCAGGGGAAGATCACCAGAGCCCATGAATTTAAGACAAGCCTAAGCAACACAGTGAGAGCCTCTCTTGAACAAAAAATATGGCAACTCTTGGGCTGGGAGTGTAGGTCAGTGGTGAGTGCTGGCCTGCCATGCATGAGACCCTGAGTTCTGTCTCCAGCACCGCTAGGAAGAGAAAGATGCCCCAGCAGCCTGGGTCACTCAGAAGACAGGGACTGGTTCCTGCCATTCTGTTCACCCCCAGTTCCTGTGCCCCTGGAACCTCTGGGTCGGGGCTCCCCCACACGTCCCCGTGCGCCCTGCCTTCCAGGGCTGCCGTGGCCCAGCGAGCTGGTGGCAGTGGTGATTGCTGTCATGAAGCAGCAGGAGAGGATCCTCGAGGTGCAGCTGTGCGCCTGCACCCTGCTACTGCACATCCTGAGCAAAGGTGGGCGTGCCCAGGGACCCTGTGGCATCTGTCCCTCCCAAGATACCCCTGACTCCAGCCCAGGGCCATGCCCTATGAGCCTGGAGTCTGGAGACGTGGGTTCCCCTGGCCTGCCGTGGCTGGAGGCAGGACAGGGTCCTTTCAGCTGACCCCGGGCAGGTGGGCTGCTTCCCCAGGCAGGGCCTCTCACTGCCCAGTCAGGGGGCACTGAGCTCTTGGCCAAGGAGAGGCCCTTACCGCTCTGGGTTGTGGAGAGATGGCTTAACTGACTTCGATTTTCACACCTCAACTACTTAGTTGCCTTTCCAGCTTTATTTATTTATTTTTTTTTTTTTTTGCCTTTCCAGCTTTAATACTGAGGGTTCAATTTCCACACACCGTTTAGATTTTGTTTTGCTTTTTTTGTGATGCAAGGAACCCTAGCCCTCGTGCATGCTAGGCAAGCGCTGTGCCAGAGAGCTGCAGCCTGACCCTCAGTTGTGTTCAGTGTTCACTCTGGCCCATTATCCCCCAGCTGCAGGCTCCTGACACTAGTGTGGGCCTGTGATATCACTGGGCGGCCATAAGCACAGGCACAGCCCTGGCCCTTGGTCTTCCACTGCCCACCCAGTGGCTGGGGCCGAAGTGGACCTGGGTTTCCTAACACCAGGTGGAGATGCTGCCCCAGCCAGGGGATAGGGACCCAGCCCTGGCCTGAACCTAGCCTCTTCTCTGGCCGAGCAGCGCTGGTGCGGAACATGGACACCAAGGTGTCCTGGGACAACTCCTTCAGCTCTGTGCTGCTCAGTGCCATGCGGAGCCACCCTGACTCAACGCGGCTCATCGTCAAGGCCTACAACCTGCTCACCATGGTCTCTGGCCACGGTGGGTGCCAGCCCTGCCCGCTCTCCTGCCCATGTTCCAGGGAGCCAGGCACACAGGCCCTGCCGTGGAGGCTGTGCCTAGGGTGGTCCCACTGCATGGTCCCAAGCACATCTGGCCCCCGCGTCTCCACCAGATGTGTACGGGCACAGGCCTCACACTGACATCCACCCCACATCCCCATTTTTCCACCCCTGCTGGGCTCTGAGCTGCAGGCAAGCTGGGGCCGGGGTGAACAAGGGATCACCAAGAGCTCCCCTGGGTCAGTAACGCACTTCACACTCCTCCCAGCCCACTTCGTGCTCAGGGGCCCCAGCCAGAGCACCCCGGCCAGCAGTGGGGTCAGGGCAGGGCTGGCCCAGCACACTCTGTCCACCCTACCCCCTGATGTTGCCCTTTGTGGAGTCCAGTCTGGGAGAGGCATCAACTAAAACAGCCAAGCCAGATGCTGGGTCACCCCCACCCCCTCGAAAGGACACAGTGTCTTTCAGGGAGGGCCCGGCCCCTGACTGGGAAGCCACAGCAGCTGACCTGCCTGGTAATGGGGTGGACAGCGGCCCTGGAAATGGACAGTCCCCCAGGGCCAGTCCTGCCCTCATCTTTGATTCCACATGGACATGAGCATGGCCCAGGACAGACACCCAGGAACGTGGGTCAGAGGGGACCACGATGCCCAAAGCCAACAGCAGGCGAGGTGGCCCCCAGGAAGGCTTCTGGAGGGCTCTGTCCCTTGCCACCCACAGAGTCGGCTTCCGAGCTGCTGCAGAAGGCCGGGCTGTGTGAGCTCATCTTGCAGCACCTGACCATCTTCCTTCAGGACCGGGACATCTGCCTCAGCGGCCTGGGCCTGCTCTGGGCCCTCCTGGTGGACGGTGAGTCCTTCCTCCATGGTCCTACTGCCACAGCACTGGGACCCCTGTGGGGATGACACGGTCCTGAGGGTTCCTCAGAGGCTAATGGGGCAGTAAAAGGAGACAAGGGCAAAAAGTCAGGACGTGAACAGCCCTGGCCCCAGGGGTCACCTGGTGAGCTGGGTGCCTCATCCTGACTTCTGATCCACTCAGGGTGCTGCCCACTACCAGCCCCATCTTGCCACGCCAGTGGGCAGGGTAAGAGGGCTCCAGGGTGTGGCAAGCTGGGAAACCCCAGCCTCTTGTGCTGGCCATCCCTTGCCTCCAGGCTCAGGGCCGTAGGAAGCCCCCACCTTCCATTCTCCAGGAATATAGCTCGCACCCAAACTCTGTGTCTCGTCTTTGTTTTGGATCCAGCCATCATCATGAAAAAAGACACCTTGGAGAAGTTCCCAGCCCTGATTATCCAGGTTTTAGCCGCACATCCCGAGGATGTGGACATGGCCGAAGCCGGCTGCGCGGTACTCTGGCTGCTGTCCTTGCTGGGTGCGCAGCCTGGGGCCTGGGGCGTGGAGGGCGGCCCTGCACACACCCGAGGGTGACGAAGCCCTGACCCCACAGGCTGCATCCGGGAGGAGCAGTTGGAAGAGGTGGTGGTACTGCTCCTGCGAAGCATCCGGCTGGGCCAGGGCAGGGTCCGGCTGGTGAATAATGCCTACCGGGGCCTGGCCAGCCTTGCAAAGGCCTCTGGTGAGCTGGTGCTGGCATGGGCTGCTACCTGCAGGTCTGTGTCAGGACGGGGTGGCTGAGGGCCTAAGGGACAGGTCCAGCCCAGGAAGCAGGGTCACAGGATCAAGGGAGCAGGCCCAAGGGCAGCCCGGGTAGAAGCTACCCACGTGACATTCAAGGCACCTCGCCTTCGGGAGCCTGTTTCCCCTGGAGGAAAGTGGTATAGATGCTACACTCCCCTTGCGAGCAGAAGTCACAGCAGGAGCACCTCAAAGGCCAAGGCCCGACCTCATACGACAGGCTCACGAAGCCTGTACCCCAGCACCCGAGCCGAGCGCCCCCGCAGCAGTCAGGGCCTGTGCACCAGGTGGTGGGTGCAGGGCAGCACTCGGGGAAACAGGCAGCAGAAACCCCCTTTCCTAACAATCCACATGGAGCGGGAAGAGCCAGACCTCGGTTCCTGCTCTTCACCCACCTGCCCCCAGCACTCTGAATTCTCATCACCCCGTCTCCCAGTGATGCTGGCGCTCAGGTACCGGCCTGGGGCCATCTGCCAAGGCTCCCATCTCCCCCCAGAGCTGGCAGCCTTCCGTGTGGCAGTGGTGGAGGAGGGCAGCAGCGGCCTCAGCCTGCTGCAGGAGACCTACCATCTCTACAGTGATGACCCCGAGGTGGTGGAGAACCTGTGCATGCTGCTGGCCCACCTCGCCTCCTACAGTGAGGGCCCTGCACGGCACCCTTCCCTGTGGGCAGGTGGGAAGGAGCCACACAGTGTGTGTGTGGGGGGGACCTCTGCTCAGCCAGCACCCACCACACCCAGTGCTGCTCACTGAGGCTGACGGGCTGGCCCCAGAGTCCCAGGGCGCACCATCCCAGTCTTTGAGGCCCTGTGGCCACAGGCTCTGCGGGTCAGGGCCTCTCTGCTCCTCACCCCCGCAGAGGAGATCCTGCCGGAGCTGGAGTACAGTGGCATTAGGGCCCTGGCCCAGGACATCGAGGACCGCTTCCCCTCCAGCCTGGTGAGTAGGCCAGGCACCTTTGCCACGGATGGGGTATCACCCAGAGCTGAGCCCTCCCCTCTGGGGCCTTAAGGAATGTCCTGTTAGTCCAGCCCTACGACTGGGCCAAAGTCAAAGCTACAGGGGTGCAGTCATCAGACCTCGCTGGTATGTGGCCAGTGGGGTACATGAGCCTGGGGGCTGTCACGGACAAGTGACCTGCACCTCTCTCCTCCAGGAGGTGGTTTCTTACGCAAGAAAAGTGCTCCTGAGCCTGGAGACAGTTGCATGCCCCAGCCCTGGGGACGGGGAGCTGCCTGGTGTAGCCTGTGACCTCTCTGGGGACCTTCCTGCCCTACCCTGAGATGCCATCCCGTCCCGTCCCGTCCCGTCCCATCCCAGGGTAGGCATGGGCAGAAGGCTCACCTGCTGCCCTCAGTGACAGTAAAGAGGACCAAGGTGGCTGCAGTGTGTCCAAGTGCCAGCTGGTGCGAGTGTGACTGCCCATGGTGGCACTCGGTGCCCTCTGCACAGGCCTGGCCAGCAGGGCCCTGGACAGTCCTGAGCACAAGAAGAAGCCACACCTCCACAGTGCTAAGTTTATTTGTGTGCTGAGGATTGGACCCAGGGCCTTTTGCACCCTGGGTAGGCCACTGTTTATCAGCAATGGCCTGGGGGTTTCCACACAGCAGGCGGGTGGCTCCGCTTGGGCTTTATTCACCATCCGTGTGATGGTCACCCCAGCCCATCCTGGGACCTGGGCCCCGCTAGCACTTGGCAGGCTGGCCTGCTACAGCCCATGGCCTTTCCAGACCAGGAGAGGCATTGGCGATACAGCCTGAGTCTGCGTCTGCGTGGTAGGTACGTCTCCGCTGGGTGCCAGCCTGTGGCGAGGAGACCCCACCCCCATGAAGTCCCTCTCCAGGGCCCCACAGCCACAGGAAGGTCCCCAGTTAGGCAGCTGCTATGCCAGCTGCCTACGCATCAGTGGCTGCTGTGGGCACCTGGTCTGGGTCCCTCCGGTTTGGCACAGCCTGTCCCCTTACTCTGGATGAGAGGGCAGATTGGTTTCAGAGGAAGTCACTCGAGCACCAGGCAGACCTGTCCACAGCCCATCAGAGCTGCAGTGGCAGCCAGGTGTCCTGCTTCCCTCTGTCAGCAGCCCAGACCTCGGGCCTGTGCACCCCGCTGTGCCTCGGATACACACCTCGCTGCTTCTCCTGCATACCCATGCCCTGGCCAACGAGGGCCAGGCACCAGGCCTGCACCATGGCCTTGAAAGTGGCTTGCCAGACTTGCTGCTTTCGGGAGACACAACTGGTCCCACGATCTGGTCCCATGCTGGAAGGGTCGAGGTGCCACCACAGGCCGAAGGGCGGGAGCTAGGCGTCCTCACTGCGGCGGTCCTGGGCGCTGGCCGGGGGGCGCCTGTCCCGGGCCATGCTCTCCCAGTCCCTCTTCACCATGATGTAGAGCCTCATTGCTGCCTGAGCATCCTGGATCTGAACGACACGCAACCGTGCTGTAGTGGGGAGCACGCATGGCCACAGGCCACACAGAGGCCTCCAGGCCAGGTTTCCCTGCACTCCTGGAACCTGGCTGTGCCCATTTACAGGGAAGGCGGGAAGCCAAGGGGAGGATGGAGGCTGGCTTTGCTAGGTTCATCAGATGAGCCTCACAAGTGTCGCTGCGGGCTGGGGTCTAGCACGGGGGCACGAGAGTGGAGGGGCGAGAGCTCCAAGAACCGCAGGCCACATGCGGGTCCCCTGGTGGGGAGGGGGCTGGGCAGCACTCATCTGCCAAGGGTTTGTGCACCGGGGTCTGGTCCCAGTGTGGTAGTGCTGAGGGGTGGGACTTGTGTCCCCAGAGCCTGTCACGGCTTGTAAAAATGAGCTTTTACAGAGCAACAGTGCCTCCCTCTCCTGCCTTCCCACATGCCCACATGACTCAGATCTTCTCCACTTCGGTGCCACTTGCTGTGAGGCCTTCACAGGACCCCATGCCAGCACCATGCTGGTGAACTCCAGGGAGCTAAATAAACTTTCCTTTGTGAATTACCCAGTCTCAGGTCCTTGGTTATAACAGAAAATGGACTGCCACAGCCTCCAAATAGACTGGTGAACTTTTCTCCAGATAAATACGAGATGGTTTTTTGATATTGTGCTTTTAAGATTTAACACTTCTTAAGCTTGCTATGCTGATTTTTTTTTTAACTAACAGCTAGCAGGCACCTCCCCTGTGTCTGCCCTAAGCGACACAGGCCTGGATTTCAGGGTCAGGGACAAGGCAATCCCAAGGACGGTTACCCACGGACACTTACCGAACAATGCTCTGCCTTCTGGACTCTGATACCCAGGATTTTCTCGGAGAGCAGCTTCAGAGATGGCCTTCCACTCTGCAAAGGGGGGAGACGGCACACGGCATGCTGGAACGGGTATCTCTGGGCAGGAGAGTTTGGCTACTGAGCCCCACCCATATGGCCTGCAGTCACACCCTGGCCTGGTCAGGGAAGGGGTCAGGCTGGGGTGCAGGTCAGTGGTAGTGCATGTTCCTAGCAAGTGCAAGGCTCAGTGCCCCGCGCTGGAAGAGAAAGGAGCCCACACCTTGTCCTCTGTCCTGGGCCACTGCTGGTGTCCAGGGGGCAGGGCCAACTGCGGAGCTTGGCGAGCAGAAAGCCTGCCCACCCCACACTTATTCCCAGGGTTGGCCATGAATAGAACTCTGCTTTTGCTTTTTGCTTTTTACGGGTGCTGGGGAAGGAGCCTGGGGGTCATGCATGCAGGCCAGTGCTCTACACTGGGCTGCACCCCAACCCTACTTGTAGGCTCTTTTTGAAGGTTAAAAAGACAAACAAAACAAAAATGCTTTTAAGGCCAGGGATATAGCTCAGCGGCATAGCGCCTGCCTGGCAAGCACAAGGTCCTGAGTTCAATTCCTGGTACCAAACTATAAAATACATAAAAATGCTTTTTCTTTCTTCCTTTCTTTCTTTCCTTCCTTCCTTCCTTTTCTTCCTTCCTTCCTTCCTCCCTCCCTCCCTCCCTTCCTTTCTCTTGCGTGCTTGCTTTCATCTTTTTGAGACAGGGTGCTTGCTTGCTTGCTTGCTTGCTTTCGTCTTTTTGAGACAGGGTCTCACTATGCAGTTCAGGCTGGCCTTGAGCTCACTTTGTAGCCCAGGCTGGTCTTGAACTCCCAACAATCCTCCTGCCTCAGCCTCCTGAGTGCTGAGATTGCAGGCATGTGCCAAGCCTGGCTCTAAAAATGCTTTCAAGTCAGGTGTGAGAGACCAGAATGAACAACCTGACCCAAGTCACACGGCTTATGTACCTTTACTTGCTGCTTGAAAGGTTTGTATTTCTGTGTGTCCCGGATCTTCTTTCTGGGATGATCAAGAAACAGCACCTAGAGGAAGATAACAACCATTTCCATTTTATGGCAGTAGAACCCCCTTTTGCAAATAACATCTTACAAAGGATCCCAGTATACAACCCCAGCCAGAACAAGGACAGGTGTGAACATACAAAGGCCACCACCAGCCTGACTTATGGTGCTGCCTGAGTCAGAATGGCATTAATAAAATCTTGAAATTGAGGAAGCAGAAAAATGGTCAGTCAGCACCTGTGTGAGTTGCTTCTGCACACAGGGAAGTCAGAAATCCTGGCCCACTCATCCAGAGGCACATGGCCTGCACAGGCACCACGGCGGGGGAAACAGCCCTGGGGATTGCCTGTGAAGATGACTCCATGCATGCGAGGACAAGTGGCTTCTGTTAGTTTTTAGTACTTAAACATTATTTTATTTTTACTATATTTTATCTTTTTGGGGGTGCTGGAGGCCAGGCCATGAAGGGGACCCAGCCTGGCACAGCTGCCCAGGAACCCTGTAACCATCCAGGCCCCAGGAGGGCTGGCAGCAGGCAGTGGGCAGAGGCAGCAGCTGGTTCTGCCAACTGGGGATCGTGAAGCCCCAGGCAGGGGACTAGGCAGTTGGTCACTTGGGAATGCAGAGGCTCAGCTCTGCTGCCTGCACAGCAGCTCAGACCTCTAGTTGTTTTACATCATGAGGTGAACCCTGTGCATGTGGGACACTGAGATGGCCACAGGGGGGCTGGGAATTTAGCTCAGCGGCACAGTGTCTGCCTGGCAAGCGCAAGGTCGTGAGTTCAATTCCCAGTACTGGAAACCACTCCCCACCAAAAAAAAAAACCCAAAAAAACCAAAAAAATAAACGGGCTGGGAATTTAGCTCAGCGGCACAGTGCCGGCCTGGCAAGCGCAAGGTCTTGAGTTTGATTCCCGATACCGGAGAAAAACCAAAAAAAAAAAAGAGAGATGGCCGCAAAGCCAGGCTGCTGCAGGGCATCAGCCACTGTACCGAGGCGGCCCAAGGAAGAGCAGAGGGACAGCTCTGCCCCAGCGGACTGGACAGCCACATTCCTGCTGCTGCCTCTCACAAACCATGCAGGCATTTGTCTGAGAACCCGCAGAGACCTATGCCCTGCACCCAGCACCAGGCTTCCAGCATCAGAGCAACACCCAGCAGAAACCAGACCGGTCAGGGCAGAGCATGAGGGCTCTGCCAGTGTAAGCCAGTCTCCCGTGTGCAGCCAGGTGGCAGGCTGTCCTCAGGGCGACACAGGCATCCCTCGAGAGGTCCCAGGGAGCGCCTTGGCCAGCCCCCTCCATCTGCTCTGGCACCGGAGCCCCAGTGCCTGGTGTGGTCCCCAGAACACAGCAGGAGCTATGGGGCGCGAACGCGGGGATGAAGAGCCCTGGGAAGATGCCTCTGGAGGCGGCACAGGCACACAGCGCACCTTCAAGTCGTTGTGCAGCGCGTGCCCCACCAGGATCCTGCCCTTCAGCATCGCCGCCACTTCGCTCCGCACAACTTCGAGCTCCTCTCCTGGAAGTCAGCAGAGACGTGGCTGGTCACAGTCCATACACCGCTGCCATTCCGAGGGAGGCCCATGGCAGGCTGGAGGCTGGCCACCACCCAGCAGCGCCCGGGGTGCCCCCATGTGTGCCTTGGGTCCCCGCCCATGATGGGGACATGCACAGCCCTGTCACGGCACACAGGGTCTCTGAGGGCTCTGACTCAATCTAATGATGAAGAATTGGGGCTTGAACTTTGTAATTTTCCAAGTCAAAATAAAAACCGGCCCTTCTAGGGCACAGTGACACACACCTGTAATCCCAGCACTCAGGAGGCTGAGGCAGGAGGATCACTGAAAGTTCAAGGCCAGCCTGGGCTGTACAGTGAGTCCAAGAGCAGTCTAAACTACACAGTAAGGCCTTGTCTCAAAAAGACCAAAGACCCCTCTGCAAAAAAGTCAACCAGCCCTCACCCCTGGGCAGCAGGGGGCATACAGCCCCAGAACCTGGCTCCAAGCATCATCACAGACATCCTTTTGGGACAGCCCTGCCCCACTTCACCCCTGGAAGGAAGGGTTCCAGAGCCATGCTCGCGCCTGTGACTCCACCCAACCCTGGGCTGAGCTGAGGGCACCGGCCTCCCCCACAGAAGGGAGAGCAAGTCCCCGGTTCTGAGGGTCGGCAGGGCCACCAGGTGGGCCACGGACACACAGCAGATGGGCAGTATGTGGAGAGAAGCGGAGGGACACAGGAGAGACCGAGTGTCTTGTGTCCCTGAAGGTCACCAGGACCTTTCCAGGGCCAGGCCTCGGAGCATCTGACGCCCCTCCCTGCACAGCACTGGGGGACTCAGCCTCTTCCTATGAGGGCGGGACCACTTCCTGTCACCTACTGTAGACAACTCCCTAGGCAGCTCACCCTTTAACAAGCTTCCTGATCCTCAGCGCCACAGCCACAAGGACCTGCTGGCACCTAAGCCAGACCAGGCCTCTCACTGCTCATGAGCTCTAGGGCCTCCCAAGACCATGGTCTGTCCAACGGCCTTCGTCCTCGTCCCCGGCACAGGTGACATAAAGGTGGAGTGGACTAGGGTAAGAAGTGCCAGGACCCTCGGGGCGCTGGGTGTCCAAACAGAAAGGAGCAGGGGAAAAACAGAGAACCCAGCCATGACCCCCGGGCCGGCGCCCACACACTGTGACACCGTACCCCGCTTGAGGTGCTCAGGCCGCACCCCACTGACTGCCGTCCTGTAGTCCGTCACGGGCTCCGTCGGCTTGACGAACTTGTCGTACACGCACTTCCCATACTGGTTCACGAGGGACACGCGGGCGGCGATGCTCTCCTCCCCGCTGGGGCCCACGCCCACCATCTCGCAGTCCAAGGCCAAGGCTTTCGTCAGGCTGGGGGACCAAAGGCTCTGGATAATAAACACCATGATGCCAAGCCAGAATCCCGGGGCCTGTGGGCGGAGCCCTGTGTGTCCCTTCGCAGTGCCACTCCATGCACCTGGAAGGGCACCTGTGTCCCCTGCCCTGGGAAGAGGCTGCTCCCAGCCCCGGGCTGACCCCACGTACCCGTTGAAGGCCTGCTCCTTCTCCAGGGTGATGCCGCTCTCGTTCTGCCCGAGCTGCCTCCTTGCTATCCTGGCTGCTTCGGGTCCAATGGCAGCCTCAATGTCGGCTGGGTCCACATCATCAAACCAGATGTCCTCCCTGAAAGCGAAGACAAGAGAAGCTGGCCACCAGAGGTCCAGATCCCTGCCAAAGCCAGGGCTCTGCCATGCTGGTGGCCTTGCAGGTGACGTGAGTCAGCCCACCCCTCCTGGAAACACCTGGCCCAGGTGTTTAGATCACCTTGGCGCTTTCCTTTCCTTGGCGCTTGTTGCTTACATCACCTTGGCGCTTTCCTTTCATTTCTTTTCTTTTTAATTAGCAAACATACTTGTCATGCAAGATTTGGGAACCAGAGAAACAAAGCATAGAAAGCAAGAACAGGCAGCCCGCCGCAAGGTAGGATGACGGCTGGCACCACCTAAGTGTACTCAGACATAGCAAGTTCACTATCCAATGATCAGGGCACTCAGAGGGCACAAGGGCCACAAAGCGGACAGATGCCAGGACCCGGTGCACTCCAGCCCTCCTCTTCACGGTCTGTCCTGAGGCTCCTCTGACCCCGCAGTGGGACCCTCCTCTCCACGTCCTCTGTCCCCTCTCCCTCATGCAGCTACTGAAGCGTCTGTCTCCCACCTCAAGACAGAGGGGCCTTGCAGACTGCTCTGTCCTGACAGCCCGTCTGCTGCCACGCTGGGAGGCACCGGACCCTGTGCCCTCAGCCTTCTGCAACCGCTCCAAATGCCCAGGTGACATGAAGCATGTCTGACACACAAGCATGCCCCCTCCAGTTGACCATTCAGAGATGGCCACCAGCTCCTGGCCTTGCCCTCGCGAATGACTATCGCAGTGCTTACTGCAGCAGTCACCAGGCACTGGGCTGCACATACCAACCACTCAGTCTCCCCAGACTCCTCAGACGGCCACACTGAGGCACGGTAGAAGTCAGGAACCTGCCCTAGGCTACGCCACTGGCCAGAAGCAGGAGCAGGTTTCCCACTCGGTGCTCTCCAGCGCCAGCACTCACTCATGCCAGGGGTTTTGGCCAGCGCCTTACGAAGTGCCCAGCTGTGCCGAGGCGGTGATAAGCAGCCTGTTTTCACTGCAGCTGATTTTAAAGTTACTTCCCTCACAGCTCTGCCCTTGCCATGCCTACTCTACAGAAAAAGTGAGACCAAGTAAAGGAAGAAGCAGACAGTGTCTGGGCAGGGGAGACTGATGACGGGAGACGGGGGCACGCAGTCACGTGGCCTGCGCTCTGTGGTAAGGACGATGGAGGCCGGGTGTGGCACTTGGGGCTGTCCTGGGCTGCAGCAGTGGTGGCTCGGGGGCTGTGTCAGTCCCCAAGAGGCTCGTGAGAGTTGGCCAATACTCACTCAGTGGGCGGGGCTGGGGCGGAGGCCACAGCTGCCTTCTCGGCCTTCCGCTTCTTGTGCTTGATGTCCCCTGGTTTGGAAGAAATGTCACCATTTGTCCTTTTTTTGGCTCCTTTCTTATACTCTGTTCCGGTGGCCTTTGTGGGAGGTACCGCCACCTTCTTGCCCCTCTTAGATAGAGAAGGAGAAGAGCTCCCAGCAGTCTCCTGGTCTTTTTCTCTTCGTGTCTCATCTTTCTTTGATTTTTCCAAGATCTCTTTTTTGTTCTGCTGGATAATTTTGGGCTGCTTTTTGGGATCCATCTGAGAGACAAGAGGCCTTTCCGGGACCTGTGATTTCTCTTTCTTTTTGGGATCCGTCTGAGAGACAAGAGGCCTTTCCGGGACTTGTGATTTTTGTTTCAGCACCTAGTGGAGTCCAAAATAAAACACAAGCCACCTTTTAACTTGGAAATGACATGGAACAGATTGAAAAGACTCACGTGTGTGTACATGTACAGGCACACGCGTGTCCACAACATCTACGTGTACTTCCTGTCAACACCCTTGATATGAGTTTCCAAATGGTTTGAAAAGGCCCCTTTTTACTCTCACCTGTAGGTCACTACCAGTGAGATGCTTTTTCTTTGCTTATCTTATTGGACCACATAATTTTACATCGGTACCTTTGTTCCCGTAAAACTCAAACTCATATGCTACACCTTAGGTGTTTGTTGAGTGACTAAGCAACACACAGCATGTCACCAAGGGCCCAGGGCAGGGATGAGAAAACTGAGCCTAAGAGTTGACTTTAAAGTTACTTCCCTCACAGCCCAGATCTACACTATGGAGCACAGGGACCACTTCCTGCATGCCACCTCTGGGTTTGCTATTACTCAGGATTCCAGGAAGGAGGTGGGGTGTGTTCAGCCAAAAGAAAAGGTACTGTCACGCTGGAGGCTCTGATGAGCTTTGAGGTCTCATAACTCTGATCTCATCTCAGCCGTGGCTCTGAGGTCTCAGAATCCAACTTCCTCCTCCCTGTGCTCAAATCCCTAGTAAAGACCTTGGTAGGTGACAACCAGCTGAGACACGAAGTGAATTTCCACTTACCTGTTCCCGTAACTGCAAAAGATCGCGAAGAATTACTTCCTTAGAGGAATCAGAGAAAACCCAAACTCCTCCCTCCCACTAATTTAACTTTGCCCTACTTTCTTAGGAGGAAGAGCATGAGCTGGCGCTTAGGACAGTGGGGCTGCCCACGGGGGTCTGCCTGGTCCTGCGTCAAGACAGCTGAGTCACTAGGGTCACCCGCGTTAGGCAGGCAGAGTATCAGGCTCAGGAAGTTCTCTACTCTGTCCCTCTTGCTCACTGTGGCTCCATGATATGTACTCCAGAAACTTCTCTGAAGGTCCACAGCAGCAAAGAGCACAAACTCAGGTCAGAACATGTGAGTCTGCATCCCAGTTCTGCCACTTACTCGCTGTGTGACCTTAAGCCAAGTTCCCTAGGTTCCCCCTCTCTGTGCCTCAATTTCCTCAGCTCGGGCACAGGGACTGTAACAGCAGCTACCCTGCAGGATGCCAGGAGCGTGTGAGTGAAGCAGGGCGCGACCTCCGCAGGTTCAGCTAGTCACCAGGTCAAGAAAGGCAGGAGGCACAACACGGAGTTAAGGGCCTGGACTCCGGGGTCACAGCGCCTGGGTTTAAGTCCCAGTTCCCAGCAGCAATCCTGGATGATTTATCAGCCTGCCTGGGCCTGCCTCCGCACCTGTAGGAAGACCATAACGTCTCTCGCGGGGACGTTCCGGGGATTACACAGGGGCACACACACTGCATCGCCCCTAACGCAGGGCGTCCGCGCACCGGAAGAGCTCGGCCCCCGGGACGACGGTCATCAGGCCCTAGCTCTCACAGGCCTGAACCGCAGGAGTGCTCTCCACCCCGTCCTGCGACCCGCTTCCTGGCGAGCCGCCTCCTCCCCGAATAGGCCGCTTGTCCCGCGAGCGGCTCCCGGCCCCGCTCGGGCTGGAAGCCGCTGCACGGGTGCTTCCGGGGCCACCGCGTCCTTCCTTCCGCGTGTCCCGCAGAGACCCGACCACAGCCCGGGACGAGCGCGCCCGCCGCCGGGCCCTCTCCGGCCTCACCTCCTGCAGCGCCTTCCAGTTTTGAGAGAAGTCTTCCGGGGCCTTCGGAGGTCCCCCCGCGACGCCTTTGGGGGCGCTTCCCGGCGTCTTGCTTCCTCCTTGCGCTTTTTTCTTCCAGAATCTCTTCCTGCTTTTCTTCCCAGTGAGCTTCCCGACAGGCCCCGGCTGGGCCACTGGGATGCTCGGGACGCGCTCGGAGGTCTTCGCCTTCATCCTGTCGGTGCTGCAAGGTCCCCACGCGGGACCTGGGCCTCGGAAGCGGCCCGGAAGACGACCCGACAGCGACCCCGGAAGCGTCCCCGCACGCGAGCGGTGTGCCTCCGGTCCCGGAAGCGCTCTTTCCTTCTCGACCGGCTGGAAACCTGGACCCCGTCTCTGGTTCCACACGCCGGAGTTGGGCGGGGCAATCAGGGTTGGCTGCCCGAGCCGGGACCTTACCTAGATCCTGCGGGCTGTAGAGGAGGACGCCGGAAGGGATCTGGGAGGGCTTTGTCGGCGTAGCACCGCGACCCGGCGGCTGTCCCTGTGCTAGCTCGCTTACACGGGAAATTGAGGTCCAGGCGCAGGTCCCACCCGTCATCCGAAGCCCTAGGGCCTCCAAGTTGCGCCATTACTTTCTGGTGATAATGATAAAGTGCCATTAAGTCCACGATGACATAGACTGTTACTGTTACAGCAGCACCAATAGCAATTGCAGGGTGCTTGACCCTGACTGCCTTCCTTGGTAGACACCATGCATGTGGCTGTCACAAGCCCGCCCTTTGCCCTTGCGTCCTCCAAGGGAGAAGGGCAACAGGCGGGCTGCGACCTGGAGCTCAAGGACCACGTGGAGGGGACGCATTTCGGGGCTAAGGCTTCCGGTGCGCTCAGGGAGTTGTCTGTTGTTTTTGTGTTTGTGGTGCTGGGAGTGAATCCAGGCCCCCAGCATACCCCGGCCCTCTTTGGCCTTCTTTGGCCCTCTGGAGCCTCAGTGGGTCCTTGACAGCAGACAGATGCCAGCTGTGACTGAGGGCGTCACTGTGGTGTTCCTGCAGGAGCCACTCAAGGTGTGGCTTTCACTGTCCCATGGGGAGGTGGCCCCAGGAGGCAGGGGTACAAGGCGGATTCCTGGACGGAACACAGCCGGGAACTGGGGAGGGGCCCTCAAGGATGACTGAGCCCACTTTTGGTAAAAGTCCAACTTCTGTTCCCAACAGGTGCCAGGCAGTATGAAGTGACAGGATTCACTGTGGAGCGACAACCATGGCAGGTGAAGAACAGGTCCGGCTGGGGAATGGGTCAAGACATGCTGCTTGGGAGCTCTGAGGGGACGACGGGCAGGAACTCCGTGCCAGGGAAGCCAGGAGGGACAAACACAGTGTGCTGAATGCTCTGGAAAGGTTGAGGAGGTGGGGGCTGCAAGCAGCTTGGAGACCTGGGAGGGGTCTTAAGAACAATTTGAAAGGGAACAGGAGGAGAGCCAGCCCCTGAGACGACCTCACCTTGTTCCTAAGGTGGCGAGGGCCAGGGCTGAGGCTGAGTACAGGGAGGCCCCTGGGAAGCCTGTGGTGTTCATCCTGTGTGTGCTGAGGGGAACACGCGGGTATGAGGATCCGACGTTGCACAGCGGCCTTCTCTAAGAGCTTCCACTACTGAGCAGCCCCCTCCCTCCTGCCTGTCACAGCCCCACCTTGCTGTGTGTTTTCTCTGTGCATCTCCAGCCTCCCCTGTGATGCGCAGCCCGCTAAGCTTGCTGGCTGAGCCTCTTTCCCGGCTTCAGTGGATGCTTCAAGAGGCCATGGTGGCTGTCTAGTTGGCTGGTGCTGCTCCCCTGGTGTCGTGCACAGTCCCTGCCTGGTCCATTGCAGGGTTTGGCCAAGATTTGTTGGCTGAATGAATGAATGAATCTGGTGAAGTAGCGAGATGGTGCTGTGGGAGGGAGGGAGAAGTGAAGGAGCAAAGCCTGGGGAGGAGGGAGGGTGGGAGGGACCCAGAGCCAGGCGGGCCCAGCAGAGGCGGTGGCTGTGTCCTCCCTGAGGCAGAGGAGGAACAGATGGCAACTTTAGTGGTGAGAAAACAGCAGTGGATCCCCTGCTGGTCATTATTGAGGGAGGATGTGCTGGTAGCTGTCCATCACTATGACAAAATACCTGAAATAATCAGTTTAAAAGGAGGAAGTAGGTGACATCATGGGGATTTAGCTCAGTGGCATAGCGCCTGCCTGGCAAGCGCAAGGTCATGAGTTTGATTCCCGGTACCGGAAAAAAACCCAAATAAATAAATAAATAAATAAATAAGGAGGAAGTATTGGTGGTGCATGTTTATAATTCCAGCTACTCAGGAGGCTGAGACAGGAGGATCATAAGTTTGAGACCAACCTGGATAACTTAGTGAGACTCTGTCTCGTAATAAAAATTAAGAAAAATGGGCTGGGGATGTAGCTCAGTGCTCCCTGTGTTACTGGCTAGAGGGAGTTCTTGGCTACAGATAAGATGAAAATCAGACATGAGCCAGTTTTAAGGTGAAAACAAAATAAAACTTCAACCCCAGGCTGGGTTGATGGCACATGCCTATAATCCTAGCACTTAGGAGGCTGAGGCAGGAGGATTGCTGTGAATGCAAGGCCAGCCTGGGCTACATAGTGAATTCAAGGCTAGGCTGAACTATATACTGACACCCTGTTTCAAAAAAAAAAAACCTAAGAAACAAAAAAACCCAAAAAATTTTATTAGGAAAGAAACACAGCTGGCTACTCCATAGATAGAGCCCTGGACAAAGAGACATCTTCCACCTAAGGAATCTCATCCGAGTTGTGGTCCTATTACGTAAAATAGACCAAACATGGGAAGAAACGGCACCTAGAAGGTTTAGGAGGCAGTTTTTTTGTTTTGTTTTGTTTTTGGTTTTTCTCCGGTACCGGGAACCGAACTCACGACCTTGCGCTTGCCAGGCAGGCGCTTTGCCGCTGAGCTAAATCCCCAGCCCAGGAGGCAGTTTTTTTGTTTGTTTGTTTTTTTGGTTTTTCTCCAGTACCGGGAACTGAACTCACAACCTTGCGCTTGCCAGGCAGGCGCTTTGCCACTGAGCTAAATCCCCAACCCCTTAGGAGGCAGTTTGTTACATCGAATAAGAGCTGCACCCACAGGGTTTTGGGGCTTTTATGGGGAAAGCAAGTGGGGAGGTACAAAGGCAGATTTGGCACATTGTGATTGGAGAGTTGGGTGACATCATGGGTTGCTAAGGGAATTTAAGCATCTCAAGTTACATTGCAAGGCCATCAGTTAAACAAGCATGGGTTACACAAAGGAAGAAATGTCCCATTACCAGGCTTTTCTGGACGTGTCCATCTGGTTTTGGCAGGCATTCTTGGCAGGCTTTATTTTTTTTTCATTC